AGACTCGCTCTGACTGGATCATTTGAATCAGTGAGTTGTTGACTGGAGACTCGCTCTGACTGGATCATTTGAATCAGTGAGTTGTTTACTGTAGACTCGCTCTGACTGGATCATTTATTTACCTCAGACTCGCTCTGACGAGATAATTTGAATCAGTGAGTTGTTTACTGCAGACTCGCTGTGACTGGATCATTTGTTTACTGGAGACTCGCTCTGACGAGATCATTTGAATCAGTGAGTCATTCACTGGAGACTTGCTCTGACCAAATCATTTGAATCAGTGATTCATTGACTTGAGAACAGTTGCAGTCCGATCAGTCCAATTCACAAATGAATCGTTCAGTGCAATTTGCGAACTGATTTAACAGGTTAATTAAAAAGAATCCGCTTGTTCAAGAATCGGACATCGCTATTGCATCTTCACGCCTATCGCAATTTCTTCAGTTCAAAGTAACGAGGAACGACATGTTTTTAAGAAATGTAGTGAAGTGAAAAGTATGATACTTTGTGCATGTAGTCAAATAAACTACAGATACTGATAAAAATACTTTGTTACTGTCCACCATTGGTTCCTACAGATTTGATTTTGAATATCTAATCGTGTAACATCACATTAACAAGCTTACCTGTGCTTTCTGGGATGTATAGTGTGAGCCGAATGGACCTCCTCTCCATCCTTGGAAAATGAAAAGGCACATGTTCATGACCTGAAAATTCAGTATCATGCTCTAGGAGCAAGATCTCAACGATGCAACAGCAAGAAGTGAAATTTTCTCTTCTTACCACACTGATGAACGGGGCGGTTTTGACTTCCTCGTCTGTGTTTTTTGCGTTTGGGAGGTGTGGGCAGGAGGTGGCGAGCTTCCTCTTTATAATGCGTTAAGAGCTTCAGGGCCTCGTCGGAGCTGAGCTCCACAAACATCACCTGATCCAGATGCTCTCCCTGCTCCGGCAGCGTGAAGCTCACTGGAAACAGGAGGAGAGAGGAACACAGCTTTCTCAGGAGTGTGCAGCTGTAATGTGTCTTGACACTCATGACACTCATTTAAGTCTAACCTTTGGCTTTGAGAAGAGACGTTTCCTGAAGGGCCGTGCCCTCCTGCTCTTGCCGCTGTACAAGACGTCTTCTCCACACCTCATCAGGTGGAAGAACCACCACCGCTCTTCGCTGGTAACCATGGAAACACAGCATCTTGTGTCGCCGGGCAGATTGATAAATGTTGGCCTTGAAGACGAAAGTGAAAAAGTGAGAACATGTGCATTTTCTGAACAGGGTTTCTGTTAAGCTCAAATTTAAAGAGTTTTTAAGACCTGCACAAATAACATTAATACCATATGAGCTGGGTAAGGCAATGTCTATAGTAACATATTAAACTGTAAAAAGCATGATTTACAGTTCAGATACAAGTTTCCACAAAAACAAAAAGTTTTATAAAATGAAACACTTCACATTTCAGCCTTTAAACCATTTTTATTCATTTAAACAAATATTATCAATAAATTATTATATTAATTAAATTACATATAAATACATTTTACTGTTTAGATTTTTATAATGCATTATCGATACACCAATTCACATTTACAGCTCTGCGTGTTTGCAGGGTAAAAACATGGGTCGATTTTCGCATTGGTCTGAACAAAAACAACAGGCTCATTGAAAATGCACATTAATTCTCTGCCAGCAGGTGGCGCTTTCGGAACGGCAGAAATATAACCGTTTTTCCTGTAACAGCAGTAAACAAAGCAGCGGAGCACTGGGGCCCGTTCTTCGTACCTCGCTTAATACATCTGAGATGATTTGAAAGATGCCAGATCTTCTAAACGTGATTACTGATCTCTGGCTAATTTGGTTATCTAACGAATTTGCGGATTGCGTAACGACTATCTAACGATTGCGTCATATCATTAAAAAAGACACCTGACGAAAAACTTTTATAAGGAAACAGCCAAGCGAACAAAACTACATAAATGGTATAATAGATAAATGAAATGTGAAATGTTTTTATTTTTATTTTTTTACACGATTCACAATTTCTAGTATTTGTACAGGCTTTACATTTTTATTTCAATGTTGTAATTAGCAATTGACTTAATTTTATCTTTGAAGCAGATTTGTTACGTGACAGCATTAAAGTTTTTTAAGGGTCAAGATCATGTTATCTGCATCTCCTGCGCTCCATTAAGCCACTCCCATAATATCCGTCAACACTCAAATTAATGCACGACTCTACATTATCTGTATAGCATGTGTGTAAGACTCGAATACAATTATGAAGTAATTATTTTATCACGAATAAATAGTAGTAGTAGTACAATAACAACCAGCAAACAAACAAACAAACAAGTTATATTACACAATTTTTTACATTAACATATGATAAAAACCTTTTTCTGGCAAAATTATACTAAACTCTTTAAGTGAGTTTACTTCATAAAAGAGTTTTCTACATGCATTAAAAGCTGGACAATCCAATAAAATACGTTTATCATGAATAAATATTTTAATGAGTAAAACTGGCTGTGTCTACAGTATTATAGACTACACAACATTATTATATTATTTTTCAATGAAGTTTTACATTATTATTATTTTAAATTACTGTCCCCGGATCAGTAGGGTACTCTTCTAATAAAGTAGCAGTGGCTGGGACAGATTTTAAGTATCAATTCTGCTTAAAAAGATGCGATCTAATCCTGTTTACATGAAATAAGCTGCTCCGGAGCAGGTTTAAGCTTACGGAGCTGTTGCTATGACAGCAACTCCGGGATGAGCTTCGAAGAACCAAACAATCCAAGATCACGCCAAATCATCAACAATCAAATCCAGCTAACTGAGTTAGCGACGTACGAAGAACGGGCCCC